GTGCAACGCGTTGCACACGGGTCTCACACGCGTGACCAACCCGATGCACACTGGTTGCGTAACGCGTTGCCCATGCGTGTAAGGGGAATGAACTTCTAGGCAGTAGTGTACGCACGGATATTTATTACAAGGTGAGGATCCTCCGTTTTGTATCCCTTGTGATGAAAGAATCACGGTCAAGCATGTCCTGCTTGACTGTGTTGATTTTTCCATCACAAGGGATAAATATTTCAATGTAAAAACAATTAAGGACCTTTTTAATGATGTTAATTCTCGTTTAATAATATGTTTTTTAAAGGAAATAGAGCTTTTTCATAAATTTTGATGTGTTCAATGTATTGTTTTACAAATTGGTAGTGCGAAATTCATAACTTAGATTGTTAGTGGCTGTACCCTTGAGGGGGGTTGAAGTAGCGTAAAATTATTGTCCCCCTAAGAGGGTATGTAAGTCCCAAATCATTCGAAGTATTTTTCTGCACACTAGGCTTTTAAACGTAGTATCTTCGTTATTTTAATCTAAGGCTTAACTGGTACACTGTCGCCAGTGACTGAAGGGATGATATAAATCCTGCCGGGGTCCATGCAGGAAGCAAAAGTACTGTAAGTCCCCATGGTCCCCAGTATGGTGATCTCCCTTCAGTTGCTGACGATTTCTAGCCCATTTTTAAATTGTGATGTTCATTAATGCTTACTGCCTTTTAATATTCTCAACTAGTTTTAAATCAAGTCTGTGATATTCTAGTTATTCTACTGTCCTTCGTTGACAGCTTTTTATTCAGTTTAAATATATGTATCATAAATGTATCATAAATGTACCTTCTCGTCACGATATGGCTGAAATATTGCCCATGTGACGTTAAATAATAACTCACTCACTCACAAGGCAGTATTTTGTCTGTCACTTTATTCAGTATAAAAATTAACAGTTTGTCAAAAGTTGTCAATGATTCAGTTGGTGGATCACTTTTTGTGGATGATTTTAATATATTTGTCGTGGTAAAATATGCACACAATAGAAAGGCAAATACAATTATGTCTGAATAAAATTCACAAGTGGTGTCTAGAAAACGGGTTTAAATTTTCCAAATCAAAAACTAATTGCATACATTTCTGCAGAAAATATAAGCCACATATGGACCCTGAACTATTTCTGAATGGCACCCCTATCAAAGTTGTTGGGGCTTATTTTTGATAACCACTTAACTTTCCTTCCACATATTAAATACCTTAAAGCTAAATGCCTTAAGACACTCGATCTATTGAAAGTTGTTTCAAATTCAAAGTGGGGAGGGGATCAAACAACCCTCTTACACTTATACAGGTCACTGATCCGTTCAAAACTTGATTATGGCTCCATCGTCTATGGTGGAGCCTGCAAAAGTAATTTACAAAAACTATACTGAAACAAATTAAAAACTTCACAATCCTAAAATATTTACATTTTGACCAGTTATCATTGTGGGCCCTTATTGTGTATTTAAACAGTTATGGCCACGTATTGCCTTCAGATAACACCCGTTTTTATGCAGGTGAATCGATCAAAATCATAGTGGCAAAAGTGGTTTTTCACGTGCAACTGGTCACGTGGCCATAATACCGCAAGTGTTTTCAGCCATACTTGTTAGCAGTCATTAAACCAAAAAAGAAAACCACAAGAAAACAAAAGCCTTTACGGCCATTTGTCATGCCACGCCTTTCAAATGTGTAACGTGAACGTGCCATCGGCATGTTGCAGACGGGAACGTCCGTAGCTGAAGTCGCAAGGACGATGGGTTGTAGTCGACGGACTGTTTAAGATTTACAGACGCGTCTACAGCAAACGGGTACCACCGCTGATTGCCCTCGGCCAGGTCGACCACGTGTGACGTCACATGCAGAGGATCGTCAGATTGTCTTACGTCACCTCCGTAACCGATTTTTGACGGCTACATCAACCAGAAATGAACTGTTTAGGAGTAGACTGAGTGCGCAAACTGTTCGAAACCGTCTGAGAACTGCTCACCTTCAAGCACGACGGCCATACTGCGGGCCGATTCTGACTCAATTACACAGACGTCAATTGTGGGCACAGCGACACTTACGATGGACTAAGAGGATTTGGAATCAAGTCGTCTTCAGTGATGAATCCCGATTTAATCTTCGATTTGCTGATGGTAGGGCGAGGGTGTGGAGTCGCCGTCATGAACGTTACGCCCAGCGTTGTGTACAGGAAGTTGACAGATTTCGAGGCGGAAGTGTCATGGTGTGGGGTGCTTTCTGTAGCAATGCACGTTCCAGGCTTCTTGTCATCCTAGGCAACCTCAACGCTGCTGCTTACCGCGACCAGGTACTGGCACCAGAACTTCTGCCTTTTATGGCAGCACATGGACCCGGTTTGATCTTCCAACACGACAATGCCAGACCCCACACAGCAATTTTGACAAGGAATTTCCTTCAGAATGCGGGAGTCCCGACCTCAATCCCATCGAACACGTCTTGGATGCTCTTGGCAGAAGTCTGCGCACTCTCCAGAACCAACCACAGAATTTACAAGATCTTGGCACCATTTTGCAGCAACAATGGCGTCGTCTTCCCAATCATTTGTTCACAAGCATCACAAGGTCCATGCGGAGGCGTTGTGTCGCAGTTGTCAACGCACATGGTGGCCATACACGCTACTGAACTTGTGTGCCACCGTTAATTAAAATCCTTCTTTGGACACTAATGATTAAAAATAACCTTCTCTGATACATTTGTCCGTTGTATACCATATATGGGATCACTTTTAAAAATGTGAAATTTTTAATTTGACTCAGTATAGATACTATACATCATCAGGGCCTGAGGCTTTGCCCTGGAGCCTTTAGAACGTCTCCCATTCACAGTCTCTATATAGAAGCAGATGAGCCTTCTCTTAAACAACGCCGTCTAAAATTATCATTACAAGACATCACAAAATGATTTCTAATCAGTCAAATCCAGCTTTTGAATGCATATTCAATCCTCTCTAAGAAGATCTTTACAATATGAAATCAACACTCACTCCACCACTCGGAATCAGAATAAAATCTGCAATATCAGCTTCTGATATTAAACTCCAAGATATAGCTCCTACTCAACTTTTCTCATCTCCTCCTTGGCAAATGGTAAAGCCAGAGGTAGATCTTACATTAACAAAACTTAAGAAATCTGATACTAACCAATTAATTTACCAAAAAGAATACCATCAACTAAGAAACACTTACGACACTTATAAATCTATATTTACAGATGGATACAAGGATGGTGGCGCAGTTGCTAGTGCCACTGTCATTGGATCCAGAACAATATCTTCACGATTAGCCGATAACAGTTCCATATTTACAGCAGAAGCACATGCCATTTTTACAGCACTAAAATATATTAGTCATCAATCTAAACATAACAATTCATTATTTTTTCTGATTCACTTTCGTGCCTTCAGGCGATTATCAATATGCCTTCGAAACATCCACTTTTAATCCAAATTCTTGAATTATTTAATGATCTTGCTACTGGCCAATATGACATCGTCTATTGTTGGTTACCAAGCCATGTTGATATCACTGGTCACGCAGTGGCCGATGCTGCTGCTAAAGCAGCACTCACCAAATCAGTAACACCACTTCTCATACCCTTCACTGATTATAAACCTGCGATTAGATCTTACATTCGTGATCTGATGCAAAAGAAGTGGGACACCCAAGAAGGTATCAATAAATTACATCAAATTTAACCAAAAATCGGTTACACCATTTTGGCTGTCAGTCCATATTTGAAGAGGTCATTATGCGACGATGCCGTATTGGCCATTCAAGATATACACATGAATATTTGTTAAAAGGTGAGGATCCTCCGTTTTGTATCCCTGCTTGTCATGCTTGACTGTATTGATTTTTCCATCACAAGGCATAAATATTTCAATGTTAAAACAATTAAGGACCTTTTCAATGATGTTAATTCTCGTTTAATATTATTTTTTTTAAAAGAAATAGAACTTGTTCATAAATTTTGATGAACTTACTGTATTGTTTTTAAAAATTGGTAGTACAGTTTAATAACTTAGATTATTAGTGGCTGTATCCTCGAGGGGGGTTGAAGTAGCGTAAAATTATTGTCCCCCTAGAAGGGTATGTAAGTCCCATATCATTCGAAGTTTTTCTGCAGACCAGGCTTTTAAACGTAGTATATTCGTTATTTTAATCTAAGGCTTAACTGGTACACTGTCGCCAGTGACTGAAAGGATGATATAAATCCTGCGGGGTCCATGCAGGAAGCAAAGATACTGTAAGTCCCCATGGTCCCCAGTATGGTGATCTCCCTTCAGTGGCTGACGATATCTAGCCAGTTTTTAAATTGTGTTGTTCATTAATGCTTACTGCTTTATTAATATTCTCAGCTAGTTTTCAATCAAGTATGTGATATTCTAGTTATTCTACTGTCCATCGTTTACAGCTTTTTATTTAGTCTAAATATATGTATCATAAATGTATCATAAATGTATAACTTCTCGACACGATATGGCTGAAATACTGCCCATGTGACGTTAAATACTAACTCACTCACTCACTATAATGGCAGGGATAGTTTACAAAATGGTGTTACCTTTCACTTATCAACCATTACATGTACCTGCAATTCATTCACAGAGAAGCATCGTAGTATACATTGAACATGTATGGAGGGTATTACCATAGCCCGCCACAGGATGATGACCTTATAGTCGCACACAAATTGTAATTAGTGTCACAATACAGTTATATGTTGTTTTTTTCAAGAAATCCGCTGATTTCCGCAGATTGTTAGCGAATTATTCGCAACTTACCCGCGGATAATCCGCGGATAATTCGCAATTTCACTACAGAGCACGATAAAAAACCTTTGAGGGGAAATGGTTGTCACCGTCAGTTTGAAATCTACTGAACCGTATCGTTAGTAACATCATTGTAATGTTGTCAATTGAAAATGGTTGTTCCTGGGTGAATTTACTTAATAATACTTACTGTGTACGGAATCCGGATTATGCTAAAGCCATGAGATGTATGAATAGTGAAAACGACATGATGTTTCATTTCGTCAACTTCGATACTGTATGATTTTCTGTTGTAAGCATCACAATTGCCTATCATTGCCCGCCGCATCTTTTCTTTGCTCCAGTGAACCCAAGGAAAGAATCGAAATCGTATGGTCAAACTCTCCTGAATTGCATTATTGAAACGCCATGTTTCAAGGGACCCGTCCGCAAAGAATCTTGCTTCGTTTTCTATTATTTGAACATTATTTTTCTTTAAAACAAATGTGTTGCTCCCAGATTCATCTTTGATTCCATGTGAGAATGTTAGCACTAGATCCGGACGGCATTCTGAAATATCAAAACAGGTTCATTCTTAAGGTTCATGTGTGATGAGAAAATGGGATTTAATCATTTTATATATTGTTAAGAAAGTGCTAACCTCCTGAGTCGCCAGAATTAAAAAGGGCAAAAATGGCTGTATTGAAATATATCTCCAATCAGCTGGGATTAATACACGCTTGGAATAATAAGTGAGTGAGTGAGTTAATATTTAAAGTCACATCGGCAGTATTTCAGCCATATCGTGACTTCAGTGTTGGAATAATAAGTTGTAATGTAAACCATACACAATTCTTAAAAGGGTATTTTGATGTTGGTAGTTTGCAAAACAAATCTAGAACAGAACGCTAAAGGTACGATTCTTCATACACTCTACTCCATCTCAACAAGAAGCAAATAGGAGTACAACGAAGTCTTCCTCACGTTTGCTTGACATTGCTCATGTGGAAGCACCATTATGAATACACAAAACAAAAAACAATGGAATTGAAGAGAATTTTAATGAAATACAACTTTCAATCCAAAACCGTCAGCTTTTTGTCTTCAGGAAGCATACCTAAAAAACACCGATCCATTTGCTATACGCCAGTACAGTTCTTCTTTACTGGTGCAGCAGGGGATATTCTATAGCCCTGTTCCACTCAACACTACTCTACAAACTGTTGCTATCCGTGGTACTTCGAACATGGTGTTTACATTAAGTTCACTGTATCTTTCACCTTCCTCAACTATCCGTCAATCAGATCTTCAGACTTTATACAATCAGCTTCCGAAGCCAGCTTATGCATCTTCAATGACGATTCAAATACCTATTTGCATCCTGCCACTGGCACATACTCTGCCCTAGATCTCTCACTGACAGATTCAATTATCTTAAATGAATTCGAATGCTCGGTCCATGATGACCTTTGTGGTAGTGACCATTTTCCAACAATACTTACAAAATACCAATCCGTCTGACGAACCACCTTCACAAAGTTGGAACTTTACAAAGTCCAATTGGTCTTTATTTCAAAGACATGTCTGAAGATGACATTACTTCTGAACTAAAAGACCAGGGTGTTACAGGTGTAAAACGTTTTACAAAGCGGCAGAATGGTCATATTGAAAAGTTGAATACATATCTTTTTACCTTTTCTCTTCCTGTTCCACCACATTCTATCCAAGCAGGTTACTGTAACATGGGTGTGGATGAGTACAAACCGAATCCACTCCGGTATTACTCATGTCAACAGTTTGGGCATGGTGCCCAATCATGTAGAAACAAAAAAGAAATGCCATCGATGTGGAGAACCTGCTCATGACACAATAGACTACTCAAATGATCCAAAATGTGCAAACTACTCTGGGAATCACGTTGCATCTTCCAAATCTTGTCCTGTCTGGCAATTTCAACACCAGATAATAAAAATGAAGCATGACAAGAACATTTCTTTTTCTGATGCCAAACATTTAGTATGTCGTCAACTTCCCCTACTGCAGCTGTGTCATATTCTGCAATTGTCACCCGTACGTCTCCAAAAAGTTCAAAATCATTTGCCTCTGTTGAATGCCAGACGGATGTTACTTGGGTTAACTCCGACAACTTTTCTTTGGTTCAGTCAAGTTCTTCTCCTCAAGCAGAAGACGCATCAACAACTTTGTTACCACCTATGGCAGCAGCGCCGGCATCATCACTAGCATCGGCACCAAATCCATCACCTAATGTGACTAATGCCAGCAAAAAAGTAGACTACTCCAGAAACTCTGATCGTGTGTCGAAGGGTCACCGTTGACCCTATTCAAATTTATAATAGGTTTCAAACCTTGGAGGACATGGATGTCTCTCCTCATCCAAATGGGCGCAATAGAAGTAAGTCGCCTAGAAATGGGAGACGTAGATCTCCCGTTCATCCACCTGTCACTTGAACACCATGAATCCACTTATTCAGTGGAATTGCAGAGGTCTAAGGACCAATTTTAATTAATTACAATTATTAGTACAGGACTATCAGCCGTCAGCATTCTGTCTGCAAGAGACTTATCTCAAACCAACCGATAAGTTTGACTTGCGTAAATACATTTCGCATCATTCATTTTCTCCTCCCGCTGTTAAAGCTACTGGAGGATGTTCTATTTTAGTGAGGCAAGATGTGATCCACAACCCTGTTCCTCTGAATGTCAGTCTACAGGCTGTTGCAGTTCGACTCACATTGCACGTTGTTTTCACTTTATGCTCATTATATATTCCACCCTCATCAGCTCTTAGGCGGCCTGAACTACAGTCATTATATGACAAACTCCCGAAACCCTGTATAATCATGGGCGACTTGAATGGCCATAATCCTCTATGGGGAAGTGCCAACACAAATTCAAAGGGAAAAATCATTGAAGATTTTATTACTGACAATAATCTATGTTTACTCTTCAACAAAAAAAAAGAAGGCACTCGTGAAGAGCAACCTCCTCGTGGTGAGTGCTGGGTAGCGCTAATAGCTCTTCCCCCGTGTGGAACCGGGGTTGAATATTTCCACAGCACCCCATTGCTGGTCGTAAGAGGCGACCAAAGTGGGCAGCCCGTTTGCCGTGGGTTGCGTCCCTGTGTCGGCGGAGGACGGGAGTCTGGTAGTTGAGGGCACTGGTTCCTTGAACTGTGTTCCTTTGCCCAACACACTACTTCGACCCTTACTTCGCCTAGACGGGTGGTAAGATGGGCCCGGTCTTATCAATCGGCTGGTCATGCCATGCCCTGTGCGTAATATTGTATATGCACACCTGTGTTGTATTTTACTGTATATTTTGGTCTTGGCCGTGCATAACTTGTGTGAATACTCAATTTTGGATCGAATAAATTGCCTAGAGTCTTACGCCAGAAGGCGGTGGCTCATGGGCCAATCTGGTGATGTTGACCTCTGTATTCTGTATGTCTCCAGTTTCTTGTCATGGACTGAACCTGCCTGGCACTACATCTGGTAGATAAATATAGCTATTCAATCATATTTGCTGGAGTATTACATCCCTGTATCCCTGGTGTTTGCATGCTGGAAATCCGATGCGCTACAACACTGTCCTTGTTGACACTCCATGGGGGATGGGAAGCAGGTATGCTGAAACACTTTTCTTTCGCCATGTCTACCAAACAACCTGGTTCAATTCGTAACGATAAAAAAAGACGTCTTGAAGATGTTGATTCTGGGAACATTCCCACCAACTCCGATTCATGGGCCCGTTCCCTGGTGATCGAGGCTGCTGACAAACTACCTTTAAAATTGAATCCGTTTGCTATTTCAAAAGCTATTAACAGACACTGTGGAGAAGTGAAAAATGTCACTCGTCTCCGTAGTGGTTCTATTCTTGTGGAGTGTCTGAAGAAACAGCAATCTCTAAATCTCTTCTCGATCAGTCAATTTGCAAATGTTGAGGTTGCTGTTTCAGCACACAAGACTTTAAACTCCAGTAGAGGCATTGTTCGAGACAGAGCTCGATGTCTTTCGGATATGTCTGAACAAGAAATTGTTACAGAGTTAAAGGATCAGGCAGTGACAGCTGTTAAACGTTTCACAAAAAAAGGTCAATGGTGTTAACCCTCCCCTGAATACCTATCTCTTCACATTTGATAGACCAAGTATCCCTCATTCAATTAAAGCTGGTTATGTTAATATCGGAGTGGAGGTGTATGTCCCCAATCCACTCCGGTGTTATACTTGCCAAAAGTTTGGTCATGGTTCCAAATCTTGTGATCGACCCCATGTTTGCCAGCGTTGTGGTGGTAAACATGACAGCACTGAATGTAGGGAAGACGTCAAGTGTGCCAACTGTAATGGCCAACATGAAGCCTGGTCCAAATCCTGTCCACTCTGGAAGACTGAATCCCAGATATTGAAACTCAAACATCATAACAACATATCATATCTGGATGCCAAAAAACAAGTAGCAAATCAGCTGCCATCAACATTAACGTATTCTGCTGCAGTGTCTCGTTCTGTTGCCACTTCATCCATAGAGTGTCAGACTGAGTTGACATGGGTTCACTCCGTTCAACCAGTTGAAACAACGTCGGTCATTCAGCCAAACAAATCAGATTGTCATCCCACTACATCATCTTCAGAATCACAGACTGATCCACAACCTTTACCTGTTATTGAAAAACCAGGACATGTTCGCATGTCAAAGACAGAAAGAAAAAAACTAAACAGACAACATCTTAGGACACCCTCTCCTTCAGAGGTGCCTGTCCACAACTCCTTTGGACCTTTGGATATGGAGGTAACTCCGTCTTCTCAGGCCAGTGCTAGGAGTTCTTCACACTCGCGTGTGAGATTACCTATTGAGCCGCCATGACTCACACGCCTCATTTGATTCAGTGGAATTGCAGAGGACTCAGGAAAAACTTTAATGAGATACAATTGCTAATTCAGGACTTTACACCATCAGCACTGTGTCTCCAAGAGACTTATCTTAAGCACAGCGATGTATTTGATTTACGGAAATACAATTGCTATCATTCATTTTCACCTCCAGGTGAGAAAGCTACTGGAGGTTCTACTATATTGATCAGGCAAGGCATCATCCACAGTACTGTTCCCCTCAATACCAATCTTCAAGCTGTAGCTGTCCGACTTACCTTGCACATTGCACTTACTTTGTGCTCCTTATATATTCCTCCTTCGACTACTCTTCAGCAGGCTGATCTTCAGCATCTTTATGATCAGTTACCAAAGCCCTGTATCATCATGGGCGATCTAAATGGGCATAACCCTCTATGGGGAAGTCCAAATACAAACAGAAAGGGAAAAGTGCTCGAAGACTTTATTTCTGACAACAATCTCTGCCTTTTTAATGACGATTCAAACACTTATTTACATCCTGCTACAGGAACATATTCTGCACTGGATCTCTCCATCACAGATTCAGATCTTTACAACGAATTTGAATGGTCAGTTCATGATGACCTTTGTGGGAGTGACCATTTCCCTACCATTCTTAAAACTGTTAACCCTACTGATCGTCCACCAACAACACGGTGGAAT